AATGAAAATTCTTAATATTTATCAGCTAAATATTTTTAATATACTTTGTTTTATGTTCAAGTGTAAAACCAACGAATCTCCAGTTTCTTTTCATAATCTATATACCTTAAAAGATAAAAATAAATATAACTTAAGAAATGATAATCAAATTCAGCAACCTTTATCTTTAACTAATTTTGGAAAGTCATGTATTTCATATCAAGGAGGTTTTCTATGGAACAAAATAGTTTTTAAAAATTTTGATTTTTCCCATGAATGGAATTATCTTTCATTCAAGAAAAAACTAAAAGAAATTGTTTTGTCTTTTGAAGACATTTTTTTATATTTTTAAATTCTTTTAAAAATGAATATGAAGTTTATTACATAAGGTAATATATAATATTATATCTGATCCATAACTTATGTGTTTGTGAAAACAGGACTTTTTAAAATATTTTTGTATTTATATATAAGAGTATCAACAATTTCTTTATTCCAATTTTATTTATATATTATTACGAAATTTACGTTCTTGCTAGTTTTTAATACGACATTGCTTAGATTTTATACTTCATGTTAATTTAATGTACTTAATATTCACGAGCGGTTCTCGATGATAAGACCTGAAGGTGTTCTGCGAGTCTCCGCGTTCTTTCTTTTTTGTATATATTTTCTTTTATTGTATAACGATTTTTATCTCAACTATCTTATTGTATAACTATATTGAATATTCAAGAAAAGAACAAAAAAAAAAAAAAAAAAAGTTAGAATCAAAATAAGTAAGTAGGAATAACACTTTTGAAAAATAAGTAAGAATTAAAAAAATCGTAGTTTAATTGGAATCACAACTTACATTGGTGGTAGAAAAATTTTTAAATCTTTTTCCGCATCAAACGGTTGCGCATTTGTGCGTCTTTTTCTCTGAATTGGATATTAATATGCATATGCAAGAATTTTTGACAAAGTATTCAGGAAATCTAGTAACTAATTCATCAAGATAAAAGCAAATATATTTGGGAATTGATCCTATCCAAAAATTCAGTGACTCCTTAAGCAATCCGTAATGTGCATATTTGCCGAATTCACGACACCGTAATCGCCGGTATAAATTTTAAATATAAATATAAGTGTATATTATAAATATATAGTTCTTATTTAAACTTGTACTCCAATCTGACAGTTTCCATTTTAGGACGCGATGACTCCATTAATACTTTTCCAGATCTTCGCAATTCTGCCAGTTTAAGATCAAGCTTCGAACTTGACAACATTTGAAGTTCAACTGTTGTTTTCGATTGTATCCAGATGTGAAGCAACATGTTTTAGGAGATTTTCCCATGTTTTTTTTTCTTTGGATATTTAGATTAGCGAGATTTTTTATTCTTTCTTCGATTTCCAGATCCATAACTGATTTCAAATTATGCAGTTCATCGGGAGTTAATAACTTCTTCTTTTGCGTCAATAGCAGCATCATTATCAGCGATTTCGTTTTCCACATATTTGCTGAAAAAGTTGTTGATAAATGTAGCATGCGCAGATTTTAACTCACTTTCTTCATGCTTATCGGAAGCAGCGCGTTCAACAACTAAATCTAAAAATAGCAAATAAATACGAACGTCATTTGAATTAAGGCTATGTTTGATGAATGAAGACAACTTCTAATTCGTTTGTCTATTTTTTGCCGCAGGTGGATCATTATCAAGTGAGCAGTCACTACTTGACGTGTTAAAGTCTAATTCTTTTTGTGTTATTTATGCCAAATACTGGATAATTATTTCTTTAACGCAACCGGGACTGGCTGCTTAATTATTATTTGATCTCAAGTTCCTGTATTTTTTATCCAATGAGTGGGTAGAAAAATTATAATCTGCTTCTCCAACCGCTTCTGCTGCTGCAAATGTCCTTGAAATCATCGGACTTTCTGAATGGTTTTCCTCTTGATCAGAAACCACCAACTTTTTAGCTGCTGCTGCATACTTATCAGAAACCGAAACATCAGTTGATGATGAAGCAGATCCAGAAAAAGAAAATTAACATCAAATTCTAAATAAGCCTGGAAGCACAGTTATGCAAAAAGAAGATTTTAAAGGGGATTATAAGGATGATGAGCAAGCAAGTATAAGTATCTGTAAGACCATATCCAAAAGCTCTACCGCGTAAAAAAACTAATTAAGGCAGAAAAAGTGGGAAATCTAAGATTCTTACTGACACCCCAGAAAGAGAAGAAATAAAAAAATCTTATCTTTTACGCAAGACAAAACTTCAAACCTCATTAGGAATTTCAAAACAAAAAACATCCAAAATTGGATCTAAATCCTCAAAAGCAAAACTAAAACGAAAAATACCTTAATCTATGTTGAGTTATCGTAACTTTAAACTAATTTGATTTCTGAAAGTTCAAATTTTGTTGCTTGTAACGATGCTTTTAAAATATATATCTATATATATATATATATATTTTAATAAATATATATATATATATATATATATATATATTTATATATATTTATATATATATATATATATATATATATATATATATATATATATATATGTATATATATATATATATATATATATATATATATATATATATATATATATATATATATATATATATATATATATATATATATATATATATATATATATATATATATATATATATATATTCTATATTACTTTGTTAATGTTTTTTCTTAACTTCAATTAATGTTAAGAAAAAAACTTTTATTTTTTTTTTCCACAGTTTATACTTTAAAGTTCTGATTTTGTTGCTTGTAAAGATTTTTTTTTTAAATATTTGATGTTATTTATTAGGAATATTTGATACTTTGTTTTAGATAGTTAGATCAGTGGATGCTGTTAAATTTTTACATAACCCTTTTCAATTGTTGTACAGGGTGGACATGATTTCTAATGAAACTTAAATTCTCCTAATATTTGAAAGTTTCCCAATAAAATATAACTTTTGTTTGACCAACTCTTTAGAGCGATTATAAGATTAGATAGTATAGAAAATATATTTGATTCTTGCTTTTTGAAACTTAAACTTAATGAAGTTTAATAATAAATCAATGCTCTATTTAAAAAAAATTAAACAAGCCACTAGTTTTTCCCATTTGCCAGAAAAAATTCAAATCTGCCCCATGCAAATTTAAAGCTGCCCCAGGTTGGGGCAGATTTGAACATTTTCGCGCACCTTGCTAGAACGAGAATACTGACTTAATTTTTAACTTACAACTTATACAAATGAAGCAATTTTTTTCCTTAATGATTAGTTTAACTGTTCAGAACAAAAAAAATTGTTAAAATAACTTTTTTTTGGATTTATAATAAAAAGAGTAAAAAGTGTTCAAAGGTGCCCCCTCTCCCCTATTAAATGGAAATCAATTTATTTATACATTATAACAAAACAAAGTCTATAAAGAAATGTATGTTTACAAAAAAAATTCAACTAAATTTGCACTATCAATAAAGAATTGGTAGAATAACCAATATTTGGTTTAATTGGTAGAATAACCAAATTCATAAAACCTCATTATAGACGAAGCGTTTTTTGTATCTATTACTTACTCTCCTCCTTTACATATGTATATATATAAAAAGGGGATGCTTTTGCCCTAAATTTGAACCCACGCCATGTGGGGAATGTGATTCCTCTATTCGTTCTGCAAAATGCTAAAAAAGCATTGTAAGATTTCTAAAATGAAACAAAATTAAATTAAATAATGACACGAAAAAAGCTGAGATCGGCCCCGTAAAAATACGGGTCTTTGTATATCTAATCCATACCGAACTTTTCATTATTTCTTGCTTATATATTCTAGCTTTTCGGATCCGTAAAATACAGGTCTTTACCAATTTACATATCAATTTCTATCCGAAAATTTCTATACATATTCTTTATTTACGTCAATATTTTTTAGTAAAGTAATTTATTCTGAAAAAAATTTAAGAGCAAAACTAAACATGCGCACCTTTTCCGCATACGTAGAGCTTATAAAATACTTATTGTTAGCTTTGTTTTTCTGCTAAATGCATTTCATTGATAGCTCAGTGATTAAGTGCGCTGTCATCAGTGCTGTTTTGGAAGGTTTAAGACCTCCTCTTAGCGTAATAAGTTGTGAAATTTTTTCAATCTTGCTTGTATATTTATAGTAAAAAAATAATAAAATAGCAAAAATGATTTCGAAAATTAGAAATAAAATTTTAAAGTTTTCTCATTTTATAGATATATAAGATAATATGTAAGATAAAATAAAAATTTTAAATAAAATTTTAAAGTTTTCTCATTTTGCAGATATATAGATAGACGCAATTATTCCATATAATGCGCGGAAAGTCAACATATGCTAAAGACATTTACACTTACAGACGTTTGTATGTAACGATATAGAAATACTAAGAAGATCTAGAGTACTAAAACATAGTCATTAAAAAAAATTAATTCTAATGATTATGATTAAGAACTAAAGAATTTTATTAAACGCTAATCTAAAAGTTAAGCCAAAAAGATTTTGCGCATTGACGTCAGTTTGTGGCAAAATAAACCTTTATGCGTCAAGTTTTCTTTTGCATTTCCCAGCGGGCACGGGTACGTTCATTGTACGTACAAAAGACGTCCGGACGGAACGTACAATTTTAGTCCAAAATCGGTTCAGGATGGAAATACTGATGTACGTCCGATTTGAACATAAAATGTACGTCCAAATTTGAACGTACAATGTACGTCCAAATTTGAACGTACAATTTCGGTTCAGATTTGGTTCAGGATGGAAATACTGATGTACGTCCAAATTTGGACGTACACTTTATGTCCAATTTAGACTTAAGAATTTAAATTAGAAATGGAAGGTATAACTTATACTTAGAAATACCTAATTACAAGCCTATTCTGAACCAAAACTTATTCAAAAATGTATTTTTAAACTTTCCTTTTCTAAATACTTAGACACTATAAAAAATACTTAAAAATTACTTTAAAATACTTAGATTTAGTTTAAAATAAAAACGACTCATTAAAGATCATTGAGATTTATTGTTATAAAAATCTTGTTCATCTTCCGCTCTACAGCCACGCCCACCACCATCTTTTCTGTCGGGAGCACGTTTTAGAACGTTGCCAATAGCTTGGTGCAATTCATTTAATTTGTACTTTGACATGCTTTCTAAAATAACAAAAATTTAAATATTAAATATTTTTAATTGATGATGTTCGATTTTTAAGCAAATTAGGCTTTTTACAAATTATTCATTAAATAACTTTAAATATATAGCTCATTGTCTGTCAGGTTAAATGGTGAAGCTAATAGATTGCTTCACCATTTAACCTGACAAAACAATGCTTTTTTACTTTATACTAAATTAGATCCATTTATTTAGTTACAATTTATACCAATATATTTATAATATAATTTATACCAATAAAACTATGAACGTTTCATTTCAATTAAATAAACTCATTCCTTAAAAAAATGTTTTAGTAGAAAACGACCTACCCACAATGACTCTGAATACTTTTGTTTTTATGAATGATTTTTTATTTTTTCCATTCATGTTGTAACATGCCATTAACTTGTTTGTCATGAGTCTAAAATAAAAAAATAACTTTGTTTTGAAACAAATTTGACTTTACTGAAATGTTCAACAGAATTTCATTATGTCAGTTTACCAGTATTATTCTTCTCTAACAAACTTACTTAGAAAGTATGGCTTTGACATTTGCATGAAACGAATTTCCACCAACCATTGTTAACTGTCTTTTCTAAAATCAAAATAATGTTATATCAATATATCTCTCTATATCTATCTATATACTCATATATCTATATACAGTACTGGAAAAATTATTATGGATTTTTAAAATACATCGTTATTTCGGACTTAAGGCATTACTAAAACACAATTTGTTCATTAGTTCATAACCAAAAATGATTTATTTACACGTATTACACATTTTTATACATTTTAATACTTTGTTTGGCCACCTTTCGCAAGAATTAAAGCTTTTACACGATGTGGCATGCTCTCAATCAAACTTTTACACAAAAATTTAATTTTTGTAGAGTGAAACCACACGTGTATTAACCTTTCTATCAGTTGGCTTTTTGTTGTTATGGGTATTTGGTGGATTTCATTTTTTAGTATATCCCATAGATTCTCTATGGGATTCATGTCGGGCGAGTTTCCTGGCCAAGGAAGAACCTGGACAGCATTTTGTTGGAACCAAGTCATAACTTTTTTGGATTTGTGGCAAGGTGCAGAGTCTTGCTGGAAAATCCAGAAGTCTGACCCATACCATTCCCTAATTTGTGGCACTAGTCGAGATTCTAGCACCTTAATGTACTTGTCCTGGTTCATTGTGCCATCCACGATGTACAATCGACTGGTTCCATGGACCGAAAATGCCCCCCATACCATTATTTTTTGAGGAAATTTCACAGTCTTCTTCAAACATTCTGGCAAAAATTCTTCCCCGGGTCGTCGACGTACGGTTTGGACCCTATCATCCAAAATTGCGATAGTCGACTCATCAGAAAACACAACCTGAAACAAAATTAACTGCTAGAGAAAGTAGAGAGAGAGTGCCTTACCTCTAAGTTAAAATTTGAAAATTATTGTTTATTAAATACGTATTATTATAATGTTACAAGACCCCATCACAACTAAAATAATTAATAAAGACAAAAGTAATTTAACTGATTATCATTCCTAAATGTATTTAAGATTAAAAAAACCATTTTTACCTTTTGCCAATCATCATAAGTCCAAGATTCATGCTGCTTTGCCCAATCGTATCTTGCTTTTTTCATATTTTCTGTAAGGCGTGGCTTTTTTCTTGGACGATATGCTTTCAATCCGAACTCTAACAATCGATTGTTTACCGTTTTTCTGCTCACAGAGATTCCTTCTTCCCCTAACATACTGGAAATCTTCGAACATGTTGCTCTTCTATCCTTAAGTGCCATATTTTGGATTTTTCTATCGGTTCTTGGTGTGGTTATTTTTTTCCTCCCACAGTTTCCTTGTCGTTGAGAGCCCACATCAATCCCTCTCTCAATTTTTTTCTTAATCAGACTAACAATTTGTGTCGATATATTTAATTTCCTAGCGATTTCTTTTTGTTTAAGTTCAGAATCTTCTAGTAAAACTTTAATTTGTCCAATTTTACGAGGACTTAAATCACTATTTTTACCCATGACTTTATATACAAAACTAAATGAAATAAAAAAAAATTAAGTAACTTTTTTGGTTTAGATAATATTAAAAAAACTTAAAACTTCAATAAAATGTTATAAAAACTTTAATTCTCAGCGACGACAAGCCCTCGTGACGGAACGCAGCGAACTAACATAAATGTGCATAATATGCATAATTATGACACAACACATAAAAATCGTGTTGCCATCTATAAAATGATAAAAAATGTTGACATTTATGAAAAATATGGTACACAATGAATGTATAGTGAAAATAGAAAGAATTTATGTGAAATATAATACTTTAAATAATAAAATTAACTAAAATTGTTGCATAAATTGTGTTATTTTAAAAAATCCATAATAATTTTTCCAGTACTGTATACAAGTGTATGGCCTGCAAGATTGTAAACATGGATGTAAAATTTAACAACAAAAAGAACCTCATAAGTTAACCGTTGGGTATGCAAAAAAATGTATTAATACATGTTTTACTTACTAAAAGAAGACATTTTGCAACATCAGAAAGTTCATCATCAAAAACCTGAAACTCCTCTAAATTATCGAGCTTCTGCACATGATATGAAGAATGTTCAGGTTCCTGTGTCGATATCTTGCACTGCTCCTCAAGAATTTGAGTGAGCAAATGAATTACTTTATATTGAAATTCTAAAAATTTGGAAGGTGTATTAATTATTTACAAAACATACATGAGCAATATTATAATGTTAAATGGGAAAATACCAGACTGAATTTGAAAATTAGTTTTAATTTACATTTTTTATGTATATAAAAAAATTCTTAGTAAAACTTGCTACACTTTATAGTAAAAACAAAACAATTAAAAATTAACAATAAATAAATTTACTAGCTTCAGGAAGAGGAAATTTAGATATCGAGGTTTTAGTAAATTGAGTTGCTTTTACTGGTGGCATTGTAACTTGTTTGGAGTAAGATGGTAGGATTACTGAACTTGAAGTCATTTGTAGAAACTTACTTACAGGGATTTTAGAATATGTATTATCTGTAGATTTTACTACAGATGATACAAATTGTGATTGACAGGACTTAACAGCAGACGCTGAAAAGATAGAAGAAGTTTTGGAACCAGAAGATATTATTGCTGAACTCTTTGAAGTTTTAAAACCAAATGATTTTGAAACTGCTTGCTTAGAACGTAGCTCTGTAATAGCAAGAGGGGGACAACCAGGATTTGGCAAAGCAGAACAATGTGAAGATACATCGTAAGGGGATCGCGATCTAGCTCTAATAAACATGGGCTCTTCAGGACATACAGCTAAAATAAAATTTATCTTTAGTATATATATATATAATATATATGAATCTCTAACTTAAAAAAGGGAACATGTCCTCTTTTTCAAGTTATATATTATATGATATTATTATTAAATATAAAATATATATTATATATGATATATATATTGCCCATGGCACTTATCATACAATGAAAATTTTTAACACAAAACACAATTAGTGAAAGTATGTTAAATTAATAAAAAAACAATAGCAAAAAACATACGTATTTTATGTATTGTTCTATATTCAATTCCTTTCTCATTTTCAAAGGTCAAATCACAAGATTTGTCTATTTGCTTATTAGAATACGCTTCTGAATCGTCACTAGTGAAGTCAAATCCTTCACACGCTGTTTTATCATCTAAATATTTTAATACTGCATGTGTAATTATTAATAAATAATTAAAGTAAACGTCTAAGCCTTTTACAAACAGTTACTATTTTAAACTGCCAATCAGTTAATTAGTAAAAAAGTATTTAAATACTTACTATGACGACATTTTTCCTTAAGGAGTGGAAAGGAAAACCAATCATTATGTGGTATTGCCTGCTGTTTACATGCTTTTAAAAAACAATGATACCATTGGGCCACCTCACAAACTGTTTTTCATTTACTGCTCCTTCAATCCAAACTGACGGGATTGTCAGCTCTTCTTCTGTTGATCCCTCCAACCATACTGCTCGGCACCAAGACATTTTAACTTTAAAGTAATAATAACTAAAGTTCAAAATATATATTAAAAGTAGCAATAAGTTATAATATTTATATTTGTGTGAATATATTTAAATACCCTCAACAAAGTGCTTCCTTACATATGCAATGAAAATAAAAATTTAAATTTTATTGATATAGAAATAAAAAATGATCACGAATTGAAATATAATTTTATAAAATTGTAATTGTTTAAATAGAATAACACAGTTAAATAAATAATTTATTTAAATAAACACAGTTTAAATACTTTGCACAAGATTTTCAAATACATTGTATTTTAAGTATTAAAAGTTGGACATTAATTAAGCATATGAAACATATACACCCCTTGAGTGTTAACTATTTATTAAGGAAGCTAATATATATACATACAAAAATCCTATCAACCTATCTGTAACACTGGAATAATTAGTATTAGGCTCAATTTTTCTTTTTATCAATTATATAAATAATGAATATGCTATACTTAAAGCAACATTAAATTTTTAAATAATTTTTTTGTTAAACTATAATATATGTATATATAAACAATAAAAAGTGTGGAAAATAAATGCAGCAAAATAAACTCTTAGAAAAATTATTGTTTCGATTTCTCATCATTATGCAGTAATGGAAATATTGATAAGCCTCTTTTTTCTTCCAAACAAACACACTTCCTTTGAAAATCAGCAAATCTTAGAGTTTTCTCCACAACCTTATTAAAATTTATAGTTCAAAATAATAAAATACCAAATTTCATAGATGGAGCTGGAGAGTCAAATACATTTTCTAAATACATAGAACCGATAACATTACATTGAAATGTACCACCGCTATTATTAGCTTTAACAAATGCAATACAAGAGTTGAGAAGCAAAAAACACCTATCTTTTCTGTTAGCAGAAATTTTACTTTCTAAATTTTTCTTAGATAACCCTCCTAAAAAATTTTGATACTCATGTTGCTGTTTTGAAACTTGAGAGATTGGATTAGATGAACTACGTATACTCTTTTTTATTCTTTGAAGAAAGTTTTCAAAAGGAAAGCAGGATATTCTGTTAAGAGAACATGAATTAGTTCGACAATCATCAACTAGGTGCAAAAGGTTATGAACATTGTAAACTGTGAATGTGTTACCATATATATACTTGGCTTGATGCACAAAATACTTTAATAAATTACATGCATAATCTAAATACGGAACACGTACACTATCATCATCTTGTAACAATATGGTCATGGCAAGACTTAGGGTTAAAAAATGTTCATACAACTCCTTTGAGACAATACCTCTTAATGCAACTGAGCCAGTATATAACAAAAATTGTCTGAACTCGGTTGCTTTCCACCTATCTATTTCCTTTAAACTTCGAGGTTGTCGTGAAAACTCACTAGGCATACATCCAGTAAAAGAAGTCAATACTTGAGATATCTCTGAAATTTGAGTAGCAGATATTTTTCCACCAGGACCTTTTTTCAGATAATTTAACATACGGCGCATTACACCTAAGCATACTAGATGCATGTAGTCTAGTGTAAAAGAGTAAATACAATCAATACCAATTCCAATTAAAGGAGACCTATCATGCTGATGACCATCACAGTAGCCAAACTGTTCAAAATTATTGTTATCTCTTAATTGAAAGATTCTTTCATGATTAAAAACAACTCTTCCTTCGTGTGTTCCTTGGATAGTACACCTTTCACAGGAATCATAACCTGTATGATTTTTTATGCACTTTAGAAAGGCCCTAGATGGTGCATCACAAATGAACGACTGAATCTCTATGCTTAGGTGGCGTTCATTAAACAAAATGCCATTCTGTCTTAAATGAATCCATTCATTGACAAAATCTAATAAATAGTCATTAACATTGTCGGGTTTATGATCTCCACAAAAGATAGCGATGATAAAAATGTCAGAATTATCAAAACATGCAAGTATTGGCCACATGCACACACTTGATGATTTAAAAAGTGGAATTCCGTCTATATTTATTGATAGTTTGATGATATTATCGTCAAATTTTTTTTTACTGAGGACACTTTCGATTCCTTTACATATTCCATAATATGCATAGTCACCGCCACATTTTCTTTCTGTTTTTATTTTTCTTGGAGTTTTTAAGAGAGTTCGTGCATCTTTAGGAAGAGAAGAATCATGTTCGCGAAGGATAGATAAAAGTTCGTTAACATAAGAACGAGTCCAACGATTTTAACTGCACATTGTGCCAGTTTTTTATTTAATAGTGGAATTTCAACCTCATCATCATAATTACTACTACTGTAAAGATCTGGAATTTCACCTTCAGATTCACTACTGGTATTAGGATAATAATCATCGGTGAAGTATTCATCAGATAAAAATGTTAAAGATTCCGACGTTTCATCGTTATCATTAATTGCAAAATCAGCAACATCATTTTTTTTACAATTGTTTCATCTTCAATAGATGAATCTAAAAGAGTCTTTACTTTTCTATTAATTCTTTTCCATTTTCTTACATTTGACGCCATTTTTAAAACATATACCTACTGTATATTAACTTTAAGCCACGCTTTTGAAATATTACCAAAACTATGATTATAGTTGATAATAACGACAAATTTTATTTAGTATACGGCTTATCTAATAAAAAAATATTTAGTATAGTTGCTATTTAAGCACATAATATTTGAAGGTCCAGTTTTGGTTCACAGACGGACGGACGGGTTTTGTACGTACATTGTACATTCAATGAACGTACTATTTAGGTACAAATTCTTAAAATTACGTATGAAGGTTCAGTTTTGGTTCACGGACGGACGGACGGACGCGTTTTGTACGTACATTGTACGTACAATGAACGTACTGTGCCCGCTGGGTTATCTTACATTTTTTTATTAATTTTTATTATGTTGCATACAAAAGCATTAAAATATACAAAGCTGGTACAGATATATCTTTTTCACGGATAAGAGATTGTATTTAATACAATAGTAATAAATAAATAGTTTTCGACCCATCCGTAAAAGACGTCATTGATTTTAGCCAATTTTTGACCTCCTCCCCCCTTTGTCACCTGTTGCTCTTGTTCCTTATACTCCCTTGAAAAGGACGTCATAAAATCTTGCCCCCTCCAACCAAATTAAACCTCCAAAAAAATTATTTGATCTCCCAATGATGTTTAAATCTGCTGCTACACCTTTGAAAAATGAAATTAAAAGTATTCTTAAACATTATTTTCATAAAAACATATATTTACATATTTTTTCATATTAATTAAACTAAAATAAAAAATCTATAAAGTGACGTCCTTTTCTGACATACTCCCCCCTTTCCTTGTTTTTTTTTTTTTTCTTTTTATATCGAACTCCTCCACCCTCTCCTATTTGAATGACGTCCTTTATGGATGGCCACTTTTGTCTTTATTAGAATATATACGATAAAAATATATATTCCATATATCTTTAATAGGTAGAGTTTTTTTAAAAATATATATAGACGGTGCAACAAAGTTAAAAAAAAGCGCAACAAAGTTAAAAAAAAATTAGTTTGTATTAAAATTAAAAAATGATTTATATAGCTTTTCTTTGCAAAAACCAACGCGCTATGTAAATAAAATTTTTAAGTGCTATAATAAAACTTTATAAATTCATTAAAATAAAATTTTTCACTATAATAAAATTTTTAAGCAATTATTACTAATTTTTTTGGTTGCGTGGCTTTTGTTAAGAGCTTTTAAATTTTGCGTCAAATCATCTCATTTTAACATATTTGTTGTATCATCCATACTGCAGCCGTTTTTCAAAACGCCTTAGGGTTAAAAAATCATTTTTGACTTCTTTACAAAATAAGCTAGTTTATGTCTACAAACATTATTGAATACATACTTTCAAAAATTTCTGAAAAAATTCATTAAAATTATTCGTTTTAAAAAACGTTTAACAAAGAGTTAACTTTAAAAGACTTTTTTTTAATTGCGTTTTTCACGAAATACATAATAAGCATATAAGGCGTTTCGAAAAACAGCTACAGCATATATTTAAAGTAAAAAAATAAATGTAGCTAAAAAAGCTTTTGATTATCCAACGAAAGTTTTAAATTTTTTTCTAGCTACGGGCTATTTTTTTATTGCCTCCACAGCAGCACCTTCTTGAGTAGCAGGACTTTCTTATTTATTTAATATAGTTTTTTCTTTATTAAGTTTCAGACAACTTTTTTCTCAGACCATCCGCTGCTTATTAGGAGCAATTACCTGAGCACAATAATAACAGTTTTCAATCATCATGCATACTATCATATAATTTTTCAATCATCATATTGTATAAAATTTTTATAAAACTTCACAAAAATTTTGTAATTTAGAATAATTTTAAAAAATTAAAAAAGTACCCGCCATTAGTAGGATTCGAACCTCTGGTTTCTTGTCCAGAAGTTCGACGCCTTATCCACTCGAGCTACACCGGCAAATTATATGGCGTCGATTTTATAAAAGTCTAGTTTTTTTTTTGAGGAAAAAAATGTTATAGATCAAAATTTATATATATATATATATATATATATATATATATATATATATATATATATATATATATATATATATATATATATATATATATATATATATATATATATATATATATATATATATATATATATATATATATATATATATATATACAGGGGCGGATACAGGTTGTAAAGATAGGGGGGGCACAAATGGGGTGAGGTTTAAGGGAAGGGGTATCCCCCTCCCCTTCTGGAGTCTATAATCAGCCGCCAATGATTTTTAATAAAATGACAACCCAAAATGGACAGTTTGAGTACCCTTTTCTAACTAGTTTTGTTAATATAACATTTGCAAAATCATTGTTTTTTTTTTCCAAGAATGAATAGCAAAAACACTTTCAATTCTCAACATTTATATATTGAATACATTTTTACATGTATTGTTGCAATTTCCAATTACAAAGCAAAAGTATGTTTTTTGATATTACAGAAATATGCTGTTAGTTTTATAGAGTGAATGTCTGTCTTTTATAGAGTGAATATCTGACCTGAGAATGGATCGACATAATTATAAATAAAACATTTATTCAAATTTTAGAGGGGACACGAGCCGGCTGTGCCCCCCTTTAAATCCGCGGCTGATATATATATATATATATATATATATATATATATATATATATATATATATA